CTGTGTGTCCTTCAGTAAGAGTTACCTTTCTGAATCTCAGTTTCCCTACCTGTAAAATGGTGTTGACAATAACTGGACCCACTTTACTGGGCCTCGGGGAGAATTCAAGAACAAAGGGTGTCCTGGCATACAGTTAGTGCTCAGCAAGTGGTGGCTCCTGGCATACAGTTAGTGCTCAGCAAGTGGTGGCTCCTGGCATACAGTCAGCGCCCCGGTAGTGCACCCTTCCAAAGCCGTCCTTGAGGCCGCCCAGCGCTGTTCGGGGGCGCTGAGCCCCCACACTTCTTGCGGGGCACTCACCTCGGGCAGCTGCTCCAGCACTCGCTCCAGCAGGCGCGCGCAGGGCTCCAGGCGCTGCACCCGGCGCCGCAGGCGCGCGCGCTTCCGCTGCAGCTTCTCCAGCTGCGCCCGAAGCTGCAGCGCCTCCGCCTCCAGGCGGCCCGCCCGGCGTCGCTCCTCTGCCGCCCTCCGCATCGCGCCACTGCGTCGGACCTCCGTGTCCTGAGGAGGAGGGATGAAACGGAGCCGAGGACCCTCAGGACTCCGGAGCCTGCGGAGCTCGCGCCTTTCATCCCGCCCCAGCATGAGCTTGTGGAGCCAAGGGATTGCAAACTCTGATTTTGGTCCCTCACACCTGCCCCACGGTTTTTAAAAACTTGGATGCTTCAGGCAGCGCACGTGTGTGTGTTTCCCACCGCTCCCCTTTGTACTAGTACAGCCAGTTTTTACAATTTTAGGTGACATGTCTGGCCTCTATTGGGCTGTGACTTTGTGACCCTGTGACCTGCCTCCCCCCAGCAGGCTCCACCTACCTGCAAGAACTTGTCAAAACGGACAAAGGACTCCTTTAGCTCCTGCTGCTTCTGTTCCACCTGTTCCCGGCGCAGTTTCAGGACCGCCATCGTGGTCTCGAACACCTGGGGTGTGGGAGTGGGTGTCTGTGTGTGCGTTTGGAGGTCTGAGTCATCCGGGGCCTTTAGGTTCACCCCGAACTTCTCTCGCCTGCTGTCCCTGATCTTGCCACTACGCCCTGCTCAGATCCACCCATGGCTCCCACCACCCACAATGAAGCCCAAGCGCGCTCCTGCGGCCCCTGCCTGTCAGTGTCCCTGCCCTTTCTTCAGGCCTCAGCTTGCCCTCTCCCCTCTGACACTCTGTCTCCGGGCCACTTGACCGCCTGTGTTTGTCCTTCGCTTCCAGCCTTGGTAGATGCTGTTCCCTTGTCACTTTCTTCCTTCTCATGCTGTCCCCCTTTGCTGGATAAGCCGACTTGCCCTTCAGTGATCCCTAAGACATCACTTCCTTCAGGAAGCCCTCCTTGATTCACCCTCCCCCCCGTGGAAATAGAGGCTTCCTTTGGGCTCCTACAGTCCCCTCCTTCAGAGCAGCCACCAGCTGGACACTGGTCTGTGCCCTTCTCTACACCGTGAGCCCCCTGAGGTCAGGGACTGTGGTGAGACCACTAGGTCCCAGTGAGCACCCTGCACATAGGTGCTCAGTGCACATTAATCTACACCAACTGATATTCCATCCCCATTTGACAGGTGAGCAAACCAAGGCTCAGAGTGGTGAAGTGACTGTGTCAGACCTTGGAGCTAATAACTTGGCTCCATTATTTCCCATTCCCCTGCTCGTCACTATTTTGGGGGCCTGGAGTCCCCAAAAGGCTCAAGACTGCAGTGGGGGCTCACCTCCTTCTGAGCCTGCAGGCCCCGATCTGCATCCACCAGCTCCCGCCTCTTCTCCAGGAGACCCAGCACCGGTGGCAAGTGGTCAGGATGCAGCGCGGGGATCTTCCTGGAGGGCCTCGCGGGGGAGGTGGGGGTGAAGGAGGCAAGAGTCACGGCCCCCAAACCCCTCCCCAGTGCCTGAAATGCCCCCATTTGCCACCTACTGGCTGTGGAATCTTTGTTCATTCAGCAAATTGTACTGAGCACCTAGTAAGTGCCCGGCACCATCGCAGGCACTGGGGCTGCCGCTGGGGACAAGACAGACAAAACCCAGACAAAACCCAGCCCTGCAGGAGCTGGCAGCCTGGGGGGAGCACAGGAAATAAAGCTAACAAATAATAATAAATAATGCCCGGACATGGTAGGTGCTACGGTGGAAAATCCCTCAATGGAGTGATGAAGGAGGTGAGAAAGGAGGCCAAGGTGAACCTAGGACCAGGAGCTGGGAGGATGCTGCTGATGGAAGGAGGCTGGGGGGGGGGG